TGCTGCAGATGGGCCTGGGCTCCCTCTGGCAATGCAGGGCAGCAGAAAGCTGCTCCTCTGGCAATGCAGGGGGCAAAGGCTGCTGGGGTGTCCCAAAGCTCAGATTGGATCCAGGCAGGAATGCTTGGCTCCTCCCCTGGGCGGAGCATCTCCCCATGGGATGATGGAATTGGATCAGCCATGCAGGGACACTCAGTGGCCATAGACAGAAGATAATTAATAATTAATGGCCTATTAACAGAAAATATCTCCTGGAGGGAGGATTGGCCGTGGAACAGATACAGAAAACTGCCCAATGAACAGAAGATAACAGATGGTGACCCCATCCTTTCCTGCCCCCTGAACCCTGTTTTGCAGCAAGTGAAAGAAAACTTTGCCCGAGTTCAAGCCTGCATTTCAGAGCTCCGCTCGCTGCCAGCTGAAGGCTGCTTCCCCCAGGGGGTGAATGGAGTGCTGCAGGCTGTGCAGGATGGATTGCAGCAGTTCAAGCAGTACAGCAGGCACACAGCAGCAGGAGGCTCCACAAATAGTTCTGTTGAGGTAAGGAAATGCTGGGAGGGGAGTGGGAGCCATCCCACATCATTGTGGTTTATGAATGTGTATTTAATGTGCAGCAAACATGCAGAAAAATTTAGGTATTCAGCACACTAGATGTTACAGAGATCCACTGTCCATAAGTCCTGAAATCAAGTCCTCAAATCCCTTGGACAGATTCCTGTGGAAAAGGGGACACATCTAGAGAAAGCTGTGCTGGTCCAGGATCTGATAGGTTTTGGTGGATTTGGGTGGCTGTGTTTTCAGCTCTAAATGTGTGATTTTGCATAAAGGGGAGGGAAGCTGCCAATAACACATGAGAACTGATGTGTGAATGCAGAAAGCAGAGCAAGGTTCACAGGAGGAAGTATTTTTTTAAATAGTAACTGACATGACAGGACAGGGAGTTATTGAGGGGAAAGGACTCACACAGGAGTGGTGTTTTCCTCTGGACAGCAGAAAATATCAGCTCCAAACAATCCTGCATTTCAGACTGCCCAGGCTCAGGGTCCACCTGCCAGTCATAAAAAACAAATTGAGATTGCCACAAGTGAAATTTGCCCAGTCTTTCTGCTTTGTTTAACTCCTTAAACCCTTCCAGAGTCTCACAGAGTCACTCTGTGATCAGGCTGCAATTGAGACTCACTCCCAGTGTCTGCCCAGGAAACTTTTCTGCCTTTTTTGGGGCTTTAAGGGATTTTTCCTGATCATTTGAAAGGTGATTTGTGCTTTAAAGCTGGGAGCATGCTTTGGACACAAGACATTTTTTGACACACAACAAAATCCAGGACATTTTCTAGTACACTTGAAGGAACAAGCTCCATTAAAAATTCAGTTAATCCATAGATACAGGGAGTTTTTACTCCCCTAAGCAGTCCTTCTAGATTATGCAATTATTCTTCTAGTTCTTCTAGATTATGCAATTTTATTGTACTTCTCTTTGCAAGGGGATGTCAGAAATGCTGCAGGGACAGGCTCTGCTCACTGACAGGCAGGAGGGAGTTTTACCCTTACAAAAGGCCAAAAAAAAAGTTTCAAAAAAAGCCTCTTTCTGCTCCAGATACTTAAGTGATTGCAATTTCTCTCCTCTCCCCATCACAAGCATTTTTTTATGGAGAGTAAGTTGAATTTTTGTTTCCTTTTCTCACTATCAGACCAAAACTGGGTGGTGGGAATCCCACCTACTGCTGCTCTCTTTGGAAATATCTTTAGGATAGACTGGATACATTTAAAAAAAAATTGAAATTTCCATTCAGCTTTCAAGGGAGAAGGCCAAGTTTAGTTTCTTTGAACTATAATTAATATACAAGTCCCTTCTTACAGAGATTCAGTGGTCACAAGTGCAAAGCACATTTCATATTGGCTTAAATGTGAGCCAGAACTCAAAAAATAAAAAGCTTATAAATCTTCTTTTGATATTTCAGCAAGATTTCTCCTCTCTCCATAGTGAGACCAGTGCTACCCAACATCTTCACCTCCCAAGAGAGAACTGGGGTAGAGGCAGCTTCTTCAAGCTCTGATTTGTGTTCCAGATCACAATTCTGACCAGCCAGCCCAGCAGAGACATGGTAAAGCAGCTGGAAAAGAAGTTACAAGACATAGACCTGGTGAGCCTGAGAAGAATACAGGTCATTGAGGTGGTGAAGAGAGATTTCCTGCAGCCTGAGGATGTGGAGCAGTGTGTGCCAGCAGAGGAGCCCAGCAGTGGTGAGTGGAGGGCATTTTTAGGGAAGTTATGGCTTTGGGCAGCACAACAATCCAATATTTGCCACTTCCTTTGGGCCATTTAATGTCCCTTGGGTCAGTGGGGACTGCTGTGCCTGGAGGAAATTTGTACCACAGAACTTCTTGGTGATTGTAGAACTTACAGATCTCCTGCATTGTTGGAGTCCTGGGTGCTGAGAATTTTAGATTTTCTGTGCTGACAGGCTCTGAGCCCCAGGAGAACACTGAATTTAACCTGAGAAAGCTTCCAAAATTAAATTATAGAGCTGTGATTGTGGATGTGGAGTCTGAACAGAAATGTGTAATATCACAGGGTGGGAAACTTAGAGTTTAAGGGTTTAGAATATATCAACAAATATAAATGAAGATGGAAGTTTTAGGGTGGACACTGGTTCTTCTTCTTCACCTTCTTCTCTATGGGTTTGGATGGTTTTGTGTCATTGGACAGAAAAGTCCACATTGAGGACTTTGAGTGATTAGTTATTGGGTTAAAAGTGAAAATATTTTAGATGTCATTTCTTAGCCTTAAAAGACCTTGCAGAGAAAGATATGGGGCCATTTTGTGCCTGGTTAGTGAAATGCTGCAGAACTCACTGCTGAGAGACTGAAACACAGATAAGAAATAATAAACATCTGAGTTTATTATTTCTTATATATAGAAATAACTTCTATTATATATATTTTATATAATATATATATAATATAGATATATAATATCTATTATATATATATTTCTTATATATAGAAATAACTTCTATTATATAGAAGTTATTATATAGAATTAATATTATATAGAAATAACTTCTCAAGTGCTTCAATCCCAACCTTGACAGAAAAAAGAAGCCAGGAACTGGCAGTGTGTCCCTTCAGCTCTTGGTGTTATTTAAAATTCATGTGTGACACAGCCTCACTGTGGGGGTTAAGGGGAAAAAAGGCATCGAGGTTTGGGGGTAACACATCTGAGCATGGAGGAAAGCAGCAGCAGGAGGCAGGAACTGCATCAAAGACAAAAAACAGCTCATGAAGAGGCTTGGTGAGTGACAGTAACTCATCCCAGCAATGTGCAGCCTGGGAGAGAGGATTATATGGGGTTTTTGAAGTTTTGAATGAATGAGAGACAGGATTTCTGAGATTTTTAGGTGATGTGGTTTGTTTTCCTTATCTTCTACATGGGCAGGAAGGATGAGTTCAGCTCACATCCTTACAGCATGGTTTAGAAGGCCATAAGACCTTTAATCACAACATTTTTTAAGGACTTATTGACTAATAAAACACTGCAATAATAAAGGATATTTATGGTTTTGACCCAACCCTTAAATATTTTATCTTATGGACTCATAATGCAGTGGAAGTTTTCTCAGCTAATCATTTATGACACACAAACTCACAGTACTGCACTCAAATTTCTTTGTTGACCTTGGTAGCTACTTTAATTTTGTCTCTATCTTAAACTCTAAAACTCTCAACTTTCTTTTGCTTAGCTTAACATGTCTTTGCTTTAAACTATAAACCCAAACTCTTACTTCTAGCACTTAAGTTTGGAAACCTTTTCTGAAGTCTCAGATCAAATCTTGTGTTTAATTCTAAGCTTTGGCTTACAGGCCCAAAATTCTGAAATTCTTTGTATTTCAGATTCCAGCAGGATTAAAAGGGTTATTTCTGTTTTTTACTGAGGGACAGACAGAGTTATTTGTTTTTTGCTGTTTATTTTCTTTCGTGGTTGCAGCAAATTTCTGTTCAGTTTTCCCAGCAGGGATTGGGAATCCTGCAGGGAAACCTTGGAAGCCCCAGCTCACAGAGCAGGAGATGCTCTGGGCCTCTCTGTCTCAGGGCTGCTTCAGGGAATGCAAAACCCCACCCAAATTATTTCTAAATGTGGATTTTTGAGTAGCCCTTTCATCCAGTAAATGGAATAAAAATATAAATGTGGACATAAAGGCCACTGAAATGTCAAGGGATGAAATTCTCATTTTCTGAGGGGATGAACTATTTGCTCTCTAAGGAAAGTAACAGGGGATGAATAAGTCAGATAATTGGGAAGATGAGCCCAGCTGGTTTATGACACCCACTGGAGCTCCCTCCTTCTGTTTCAGAAAAATAAAAATCCATTCTCCTATAAAAAAATTACAGTAAACAGCATTGAATTTGCAAGATCCAGTGTACAGGAAGTGCAAGATTGGTGCTGTGTTGAACTAGAAAATAAATATTGTGATGCAACACTTCATCAAGAGCTTCATTTCACTGAGGATATTTCCTCCATTTGTTTATTTAGAGGTTATTTGAACCTACTCACATTTTTAATATCCAGAGCAGATCAGGATATTCCCTCCATAGGCTCATTCCCAGGTCAGTGCAGCTGGAAAAGAATTCAGGAGTTTGAAAACCTCACATGGGCAAATCTTGGAGCAGCTTTGGACATGCTGAGGTCTCAGAATCAGAGCAAAGGGATTTAATTAAACCCAACAGAGAGCAGCACATTTGAGGTGGGAATAATCTGGGGGAGTAATCGAGAGGATGCCTGGCCTTTGCATGGACTGGTCTCTACTTATTAGTAATTAAATAATAATAATAATAATAACAGTAATAATAGTAATAATAGTAATAATAGTAATAATAGTAATAATAGTAATAATAGTAATAATAGGAAGAAGAAGAAGAAGAAGAAGAGGAAGAAGAAGAAGAAGAAGAAGAAGAAGAAGAAGAAGAAGAAGAAGAAGAAGAGGAAGAAGAAGAAGAATAATAATAATTATATTCTATATATTACACATATTGTATTTTAATCATATTATAATTATATATATTATAAACATAATTATAATCTTATTATAAGTTTACAACATTAATGCAATCAATATATTAATATTATCATAATTATCCTCACCACTATTATATTTATTATTAATGATTTATTATATTAAAATGCTATTATGATTATATTGTATATTTAAAATATATAAAATATATATTGTGTATTAAAAATATAATGATACTATTATTATCATTATATAATATTAATTTTATACAATAAATATATTACTAGTATTATCATCATCACCACCATTATAATTAATATTAATAATCTATTATATACATTACAATTCTAATGTATTATATTTATATTAAAATTTTATTATGCATTAAAATATAATTATACTATTATTATAATTATATAATATTAATTTTATACAATAAATATATTATTAGTATTATCATCATCACCACCATTATAATTATTATTAATAATCTATTATATACATTACAATTCTATTGTATTATATTTATATTAAAATTTTATTATGCATTAAAATATAATTATACTATTATTATAATTATATAATATTAATTTTATACAATAAATATCTTATTATGATAATTATTATAATAACTATTATTATCATTATTATTAGTTATATATCATTATTATTAACAATAAATAATTCTACATCACACTTCTATTGTATTGTAATTATAGTATAATTATATTGAATTATAAAATATCAATATAATTATATTCTTTTTCTATTATAATTATATAACATTACGTCTAGAATTTTATTATTATTATTATTATTGTTGTTGTTGTTGTTGTTGTTGTTGTTGTTGTTTTTATTGTTATTATTTCTCTTCCCCTGCCCCATTCCACTCCCTGAGAGCAGCTGAGCCTTGCCAGACCCTTTGCTAACAAAGGTGAATATTTGCATGTGCTGGAGATAACAGCTCCCAGCTCTTTCTCTTTGATAAAAACAAACAACCAGTCCTGCAGATAAAGCAATAATACATTTTTTATGACCCCAGCCCATGTTCTGCAATCCCAGGGCTCCTTTCTCTACCTGGCTCTGCTCTCCAGGAACTTTGGAACCCTCTGCACAGGAGATTTTGGCACCCCAACCTGCTTTTCCTAATGAATGCAGTGAATTTCTTTTAAAATTGTCATGTCATGTGCCAACTGCAGATGTGTAAGTGAATAAAAAATTAAGAAAATAAAACCAGGAAAATATTTACTGAGGGAGGAACTGAAGCATGTACCAGCCCCAAAACACAAATATTTCCCTTTGTCAGCTGGGTTTTGCTGTTTGTAAAAGTTAATCACATGGATTTCCTGCTGCTTTGTCTTTTGAGCTGTTCATGCCCACTTCAGTGCACATCCCTGAGAGAATCCCAAGTTCTAAAATCTGTAGGGAATGCACCCAAAACAGGATCATCCTGCAGCAGTGAATTCTGCAGGGAAATGGGAGCAAAACTCAGGGCAAGGGGCTGGAGGTGGGCACAGCTCAGTTCATGAAGAGCAGCTTCCAACTTAAAAAAAAAATAAATAAAAGTACTAAAGAACTAAAAAAAAAAAATAAAGGAATTAAATCCTGGCAGCCAGGAATGGTCAGAAAGGACAAGAAAAGGTTTTTAGTAGCAGTGTGGAAAATCTCCTGTTGTGAGAGGGAGCTGAGTTTGCTTTACTGCAGACAAACAACCACCATAATCTCTGCCTCAAGGCTGGCAGGTGGGGACAGTCAAAAAGTGTGGGGACAGTCAGAAAGTGTGTCCTGCAGAGCATCTGAAGAATTACAGCCATTACAGGAGTCCTGGATTATTTACCAGCTAGAAATTATTTCATTTCTGGGGATTTTTCTTTGGTTTGGGGTTTTAATTAATGCGTTTGTTATTTTTGCCAAATGGCTTTAGAAATGAAAAGATTGCTCAGTGTAGAAGTGTGCAGCACTGTTTTTTAATCCCCTTGCTGGCCTGGTAAAAACAAGAGGTGGAAAAAATGTTATTTCTGCTATTTATTCCTCTTCTGAGAAAGCCTTTCCACATCCTGGCTATGGTAAAGCTATTAGTGCTACCACACTGCACCTTCTGGGTTTACCAGTGGTTATACTGCACATCTTATGCAATTTGCAAAGTTTTTTCCTTCCCTTTATTTTATTTATCCCATTTTATTTTTATCTGATGGACTTCAAGTAGCTTCTCATGTGGATGCACCTTTGAGATATTGTTTGTGGGTTTGGGGGTTTTTTTTGAGGGTTTATCTTGTTCACATCCTGCCTAACTCTGCTGTCCAGCCTACATTTCTCCATGCTTAAAAGTTGTTGCTACATCAAACCACATTTGTCTGCACCTCCAACAAAGGAGTTTAACAAATGGAATTGAAATATTGGTGCTTTTTCACCTATTTTTTTTTCCCTTTTTACCTGCAGATATGGCAATCCTGGGAATGGACATCGAGGTGCAAACTGTAGAGGACAATGTCATCAGCCTGGAGATGCTGTTCAAAACCTGGCTCCATGACCATGGCACAGAGAGGGAACAGCTCCATCTCCTCCTTCCCTCAGGAGGTTTTGGCCACTCTGCTGCACCCAAGAACACCTTAAGTATTTCATTTTCTCTCCCCTCTGCTCCCCTTTCAAGGAGTTCCTGAATCCCTCAGCCTTAAAAGTTACCCAGGGTTGTGCTATGGGCACCTTCCCTTCCATTTAGAAACCCAGATGAGGTCTGTGCATAATTTGGAAAATCATCAGGTTTACAAAGCTGCTTTTTGCTGCCTCAGCTGCTGAGGCTGCAGTTGTTTCCATTCTGCAGCAAAAACGTGCCTGGAGGAGCAAGTGAATTTACAGCCACGTGGGCAAGGTAAAAAGGAGCCTTGAGAGCTGAATAGCCCTAAAAATTGTGTTCAAAACAGAGTCTGTGCCAGAGCTGCACTTCAATAAAGGCTCTTACACAGAGCTCCTCTTAAATAAAGGCTGGTTTACAGAGAGGTGCACTTAAATAAAGGCTGGTTTACAGAGAGGTGCACTTAAATAAAGGCTGTGTTGCCCCTATAAAGGGACCTGGGGACAGGTTGATGCCTTGTGCCAGGCTTTGGTATTTTCCTTCCCCCAATAGTTGCTAGAAAACATTAATTTTTAAATGTCATGTGCTAAACATTGCCCATGCCAGCGACCTAAACCATTCTGCTTTCCCAGTGTGCCTGAAGTGTGATTTGCAGGAGAGGCTGCTGGACCCAGCCCTGCTTTTGGGGACATCTGATGGCCCTGGGAGAGCAGCAGATGCCAGCTCTCCCTGGCATGTGACAGCCTGGCCCTCCCCAGCTCTGCACAAACTCCGGGTGCTCAAGTGAGTGGTGCTCCTTGTCTTCCACTGGGGGAGGGTGTGAGAAAAGCTTCACTTTCCTGGGGCCTGCTGACATCACCAGGAGGTTCTGGGGTGCTGGGGAGCCAAATTCTGCTGTGAAAAACCCTCAGTTCCATCATGGAACAGCACACAGCCCACGTGCAGACCACAGTCACACCTGGGGTCACCACAGCACTCTGAGGGTGACACCACAGATGCCATTGCTGCTAAAGTTCTTTCGCCCCAGTGAAATGTTTAATTGCAATAATTCTCCTCTCTCATCACCTAATGAGGCCTCAGTAATTAACTGGATGTCAGAAACTAAGGAAAGCCTCACAGTGCTGTGATTTCACCCAAGAATTCACTTTCCTGGCAGCAGTTCAGGGCAGAGCACAGAGATGCTCTCCAGTGTCTTTATAAGAAAAAACAGGATAATTTTTCATGGAACAGCACAGCCCACGTGCAGACCACAGTCACACCTGGGGTCACCACAGCACTCTGAGGGTGACACCACAGATGCCATTGCTGCTAAAGTTCTTTCACCCCAGTGAAATGTTTAATTGCAATAATTCTCCTCTCTCATCACCTAATGAGGCCACACCAATTAATTTGGTATCAGAGCCTAAGCAAAGCCTCACAGTGCTGTGATTTCACCCAAGAATTCACTTTCCTGGCAGCAGTTCAGGGCACAGAGATGCTCTCCAGTGTCTTTATAGGAAAACCAGGCTAATTTCTAAGCTGTCCTTACAATGCTGAGCACTACCATGAGCTGTGTCCTGGCAGGGCTCTGAAGTCTGAAGGGGTCTGTGAGTCTGTGCTCTATGGGCTGCCCTTCATCATCAAACCCACAAGCTGCTGGCAGCTGGACTGGGATGAACTGGAGACAAACCAGCACAGCTTCCATGCTTTGTGTCACAGCCTGCTGGTGAGTGTGTGAAAAGGGCACTGTGATGGGGAGGGATGGCCAGGGAAGGGGACAGTGAGTGCACACCTTGTAACACCTGTCTGGAAACATTTTAAAAGCCCCAACATCATCTCATGGGCCAGAGTTGGGCTTGTATATCTGCTGGGAAGATGCTACAGCTCATCAGAGCTTAGGGAAGACCCTCAAACCTACCAGAAATGAGTGTTTGGAGGTGTGAAGTGCAAATGCCAGGGTTGGAGTTAGACTTGAGATTTCAACAGCAAAATATAAATAACCAAGGCTTTGACTGTGGAGAACTGGCTGTTTCTGACAAGCTTCAAACCGAGTGTTTTTAAGAATTGACTTGCTAAAAAAAAAACAACTAAATGTCATATTGTCCTCAGCCCTGCTGCAGAATAGTTTCCTTTCCTCTGGGTGAGTGTGCCTGCCCTGAGCCCACGGTGGCAGTGCTGAAGGAAGTGGCTGTGGCTGTTGCTGTTGTTCACACCTGGATTTTACCCTTTAGAAAAGGAAGTGGATGCTCCTGGCCAGGCAGGAACCCCAGAACGTGGGACCAAACTGGAACGTGGTGGTGCACCCCTATTATGTCATTGTCCCCTCTGACTCTGCCACTCTCCTGGTGAAAGCAGTGGCCATCAGAGAGCTCCTGCTGCCTTCAGCCTTCCCAGCCCTCCTGGCTGAGCACCCCGAGCGAGTCAGGGGCCCCATCGAGGTGAGTCACTCGTTATCAGCTCTCCTTATCACCTCTGCAGATAACGAGAGAAGGAAATGGCTGTGACAGTGTCTCGTGACACTGTGTGATGCTGCACTCCAGAGCTCCTTCCCAGCACACAGCTTTCTCCAATGCCTGTCCTTGGGAGCAATGTTGGTGTCTGCTGGGGGGGAAGAGGCCTTGTGAACCAGAATTGGGGGTGACAGTGCCCAGAAATGGAGTTCCAGCTTGTTGGATTCTGGGCATGGAAAAGGGTAGGACTGTATCCTGCAAGGAGATGTTTAAATCCATTAAGATCTGTCTGGAGATGCCTCTTGTTCTATACACATTATGGTTTGCAGCACAGCCAAAAATCCCTTCACCTTTCACTGCAGGGTGGCTGGTTTGGAGTGTCTACAACCCTGTCCCCAAAAAAGAAACCAAAAAAACCACAAACATGCAAACCCCACGGCTTCCACCTGTCACATCCTGTAGCAAACTCAAGCTCTCTCTTCCAAGCAGAGTGCCCTGAACAACTTGGAAGTGGAAGTTGCTTACAACCCCTTGCACCTGAAGAGCAACCTGTACAAACACCTGAAGAGCTCCTTGTACAAACCTCCCCACCGGCAGCAGCCCCAGCCCCGGGAGCAGCGCCCGGAGCGCCACCAGCCCAGGCAGGTGAGTGCTGTGTGTGAGCAGCCTGGAGGGGCTCTGATCTCCCCTCCTGGCCACATTCCAGCAGATTGTGCTCTCCTGGCCACATTCCTGCAGGAATCCCAGCAAGGTGAGGCACAGCCAGCACCTCCTCACACAAGGATTTGTGGTTTGTCCCTGTCTTGCAGCCTCAGAGCAGAGCCAAAGCTGCAGTGGCTCCCCTGCTGATGGCTCCTTCTCCACTTCAGACATCCAGACCAGCAGCAGCAGCAGCCAGGAGAGGCTCCTGTGAGGGCTCCCTGCTGCCCAAGGAGTATGAGGAGTTCCTGCAGTGAGCACAGCCACAGCTCCTGGCTCAGCTGCTGGCCGGATGTGGTCAGGCAAGACACCGAGCTTGGCCTTGGGCAGGCAGGCACTTCCCATCGTTTGTTCCTCCTTGTTGTTGTTTCACGTTGTGTTCGTCACCCAGCCAGTTCTGCAGGAAGTTTGCTGCTCAGGGACCCTCTGTCCAGAGTTCCAGCTGTCCCCTGCAGCAGCAGCAGCAGCAGCACCACGTATTTCCTGTTCTTGCCAGCACACATCACCAGCCTGCCTCCAATTTGGGTTTGTGAGACTGGGCCAGCACAGGCCACAAATCACAGACTGCTGTCAGTGGGAGCAGAGGAGCTGCAGGCAGGGCAGGGAGGAAATCAGACAAGGCAGGCAGTTGTGCTGAGCTGCCCTCATCCCACAGCAGCAGGTTCAGTGGGGTGGTTAAACAGGAATGAAACAGGGCTTGGATTTAATCTTAAAGCCTGGAGTTCTGCTCTCCAGATGATTTGGTTGCTTTCAAGGCTGGCCTTGCTGTCCAACCCCCCAGCTCATAAAGGGGGTTGGAGCAAATGCCAAGCCAGAGCAATTCCAGAGAATTCCTGCCCAGATGCCAGCCTGTTTTTCAGTGCAGGGTAGGTGTGAGCCAGGGGCAGCTTGACCAAGCCAAGCACCAGCAGAGTTTGTGTTCTACTTACCTGGTTCTGAAAAGCTGTTCCAAAATAAAGTTCTCCTCCATGGACCCCACTCTCTGCCTGTGGTTTCTGACATGCCCAGCACTGCTCTCCCACCACTGACCTGTGCTTCCTGTGAAACAGCTGCAGGAGAGCAAGGGCATGGGGCAAGCACCACAATCCCATCTCTTCTCCCTGGGATCCCAGCTCTGACAGGCCCAGGGCTGGCTCTTCCCATGCCCTGGCATCTCATGCTGGGGTAAGACATCGAGGGCAGGTACCATGGAAGAGAGAGCAGACACCCCTGCAGGCACAGGGATCATTGGGAGCAGGAATGAACACACAAAATGGCCCAGCCTGGGGCCTGCAAACCAGTCAACAACATAAAAATTAGAAAATCAGGTTTAGGGAGGAGGCAGCAGGGAGGCAAGAAAGTTTTTGGAACCACCTCAGCCTCCCTCAGATTTCCCAAAGCCCATTAGGCTTTTCCCCTTCTCCTGCAGCAAAACCCCAGTGGAGAAGAGGACCCAGCAGAGGGAACAGCCACAAATTGGTCCTGGCCACAGCTGAGCTGTGGTTTTACAGGACTGAGGTTTCCCCCTGCAACCTGGGCTCCAGATAAATGCCCAGAGTTCATCACCTCATCACCTTATCACCAGCCTGGGGACCTGAACCTGCAGATTTCCCCAGTTTGGCTGAGCTGGGGCTGCAGAAGCTGAGCTTAGCCCTCTCACAGCTGCAGCACAGTCTGCCTGTCACCTGCCTGTTCTTTAGGTACCAACAGGCTGCCAGACCTGCAGAAGTCACCAGCAGACATGGGGACAGCCAGTGCCAAGTGTGCCTGGTGTGGTCCCACACAGAAAGCACAACCTGTATTGACCCTGGGTTTGCTCCTGGCCAAGGCTGGCCACACAGCAATGCCACAAACCACACAGATTTGGAATCACAGATTTGGCCATCAAACCCAATGGGATCCAGGCTGGGCCCTTCCAGGCCTCCCAAAGCAGCTGGGAGTGGGGGGATCAGCAGTGGGATCAGCTGGAGAAGGAGATCCTGTGACTCACCAAGAGCCACAGAGCTGCAGCAGAGCTGGCACTGCCCTGTGCCTGGAGACCATCACATATCTGAGCTTGACTCTCATTTCCCTTCATCCCCTGCCATCAGGGCCTCCAGCCACAGCTCAGCCTGGCAGGCACTTTTCTTTGAGCTCAGTGGCTCTGGCACAGACACAAACATGCACCTGCACCTCCCCATCCATGCCACAGGCAAACATTTCCTTCTGAGACATAAAGACTTTAATATTAAAATAACTTTGTATAAAAATACTTTTGGAGACTGATGGCAAGCAGCCTTCCACACACCACAAAAGGCACCAGAGCCCTGCAGCCTGGTCAGACAGGAAGCCAGAGCAGAGCCAGAGCAGCAGGTACAGGAAAACACCAACCCTCCTGCAGATCAGAAGGCACAGAGGAGCCAGCTCCAGAGCTGGAGAAACACACTGGGGCTTGCTGCAGCCACAGCTCTCTTGCTGTTTCCCTCCAGGAAAATACAGTCCCTCAGCACTGGTGAGAAAAGAGCCCAAACAGTCCCAGGTCATCCTGGGGAGGAGAAGCCCAGCTGGCACTGGGATGCTCAGTCCCTGCTGGGATACAGACAGAGCAGCAGCACTTATATCTCCCCTAAATCCTCATAGAGAGGTGACAAACTGTACTCATCCACACACTGCTCCTTCTTCTGCAGCTGCTGGGGCTTCACCACCTGGCTGTAGAGCACCTCCACGTTGTTGTTGTTGCTGCTGTTGAGGCTGGGTTTGGTCAGCACCTTCTCGGGGGCAGCGCTGCCCCATCGCCGGCCAGGCTCCTCCAGCCTTTCTGCCCCTTTGGGGATAAAGGCTGCCTGGGGCTTGGGGGCTGGCACTGGCTTGGGGTTCTTGGCCTTGGCAGGGAAGTTGGGGACCGAGTAATCGTCAGTGCTGGGGTTGTAGGGGTACTCATAGCCCCCCCTGCCATCGTGGCCCTGCGTGCGCCAGGCCTCGCTCGTGGGCCGCGCCTCGTCATAGATGTAGGTGAAGGGAAGCAGTGAGCGGGG